CAGTGCTGTGGCCTTATGGTGACACCTCTGTTGAGTGGTTCCTGGGGAAGGTGTGCCTAAGCTTGTGTGCTTTTGGGCCTGGCCTCGCAGTCATCAAGACAGGACCTACAACTAGACTTCCTGGGTTTGAATCCCAGCTCTGCCACTTCGGTGTGTCCTGGGGCACTCAAGTTTCTCGGTTTCCTCATCTGTAAAAGAGGGGCAATCTGGCCAACGTGGAGTTGTCATGGTGGCTTTTGCTGCATTCTTATTAGGTGTTCTCAGTTTTGCCTTGCAGGGTTGCATACAGCAAATCCACGTCCCAGAAGGGTGGCACTAGTCTCCACCTCCCGGTAGCCACAGTGCAGTGAATCCTTACTGGTCCGTGATGCTCTCACTCCGTGTGCATGTGATTGGTGCAGGCATGCTCATGTGACCCAGTCTCATCAGTAACACGAGGAAGTCTGTGCGGGGGCAGGGGGTGTTCCTGGAAAGGATTTCTCAGACACACCTCGAGACAACAGCCCTTTCCCTCCACTAGGTTTGCTCCTGCCTATGAGGCCTGGAGTTGCCCCTGCTGTTCCACAGGGAACCACACCATCAAGCCGAGGATGGCCAAATAGACAGGAAGACTGGGGTCCTTGATGGTATCATCAAGCCTTTAAATTACCAAGCCTAGAGCAGCCCGACTTATAACCTATCATGCAAAGTTCAAACTGCCTATTGTTGAGGCCAGCTAAGTAACGGTCCAAGGCATCCAGCTGATATTCCACAGTGGGTCACATTTCATCTTTTTGAGATTAAGCCCATCATCCCAGCACATGTGAGCTCAGCTTTGTACTTCGGGAGGACTTCCTGGAGGTGGCAGGGCTAAAATGGCATCTAAAAGAATGAGCAGGTGGACAAAGGGAGTAGGGCAAAGAGTAACATTTGAGGCAGACAGAACAGAGGCATGAGGCTGGAGATACCACAGCGTGTGGGTGTGGGTGTGTACAGCTGGGAGACATGAGAGTGTCAAGGCTGCAGAGAAGAGTGTGTTGGGTTGTGGTGGGTCTTCAGCCAGGCTACAGAACCTTAGTCCATCACAAGGGTTGAGGGAAAGTTCTGTGGACACCCTTGGTTTTGCTCACCCAGGGTCTTGCCATCCAGCTGTGTGCCTAGAATAAGTGCATTGAGCTGGCCTCTGCCCCCTATTCCGGTCGTACCCAGGTGCTGCTGTGAGTGGGGGCAAAGAGCCAGGGCAGGGCCGTGCTTCTCCAGGTGTGATCTGCCTGCCATGCTTCTTCCAGCCCCCAAGGGCACTCATAAGAGACTCCGGCTGAAATCTGGGTCACTCTGTGCCCGAGTGGAACATCCATCAAACAGGCAGTTACTAAGTGCCTACAAAGCACTGTGCTAAGCACAGTAGAGAGAGGACCTGGTTCAAATCCCAATTTTGTTTCTTCCCAGCGGTGTGACCTTGAGCAAAGCACTTTATTTCTCCAAACCCAGTGTCTTTACCTGTTAGTGAGAGATGGTAAAATCAATGGTGGCACTGTTAGTTCTGGTACTGGGGGCGGGGGAGTTGATAAAAAGATGCACAAGAAGCTTCCGGAGCATAAAGTTGAGGTGGGAGAATAAGATAAGCAAACAATATTCTGTTACAGACAAAAGTTGAGAAGTGATGAAATGTGAAGCAGAGGGAGCATCTGAGCTGGGCCATCAGAAAGTAGAAAGTCTAGATGGGAGGTGATGAGGACGAACATTCCTGCTGGAGGACAAGGGTCACAAAGGCGGGGCAGAAGGGACATAGAAAGCCGGCAGGTGCCGCCCTGTACTCCTAAAGCCTTTAGAACAAACAGTACGCTGCAAACAGAAGGGGTGGACGTAACTTGCATATGGGCATCATTTACAAGTTGTAATAGCAAAACTCCGAGCTTACGTCAGAAAGATGCAGATTCAAGTCCTGGCTCTGCCACTTACTGTGTGACCTTGAGCAAGTCACCTAACCTTTGAGTCTCGGTCCTTTGCAAAACAGGTGTAAAACCTAATTCAAAGAGTCGTACCAGGGTATATGCAGGATCTGGGACCAAGACCCCATTTCTCACCTAGCTAATTCCTATTTTAAAGCCCTAAGATCCAGTGCCACCTCTTGCAGGAAGTCTACGTGCTTCCCTCAGGCAGTCCCCAATACCCCCTCCGCCCCAGTAGATGCCCCCCTTCCCTGATTCTATCTACTGTACTGTGATCACCTCAGTCCTTCTCTCCTATCAGGCTCTGGGCTTCCAAGAGGGAGGGGCATCTTTTGGACGCAGCTGCACCCCCACACAGAATGGGGATCTACCAATGCCATATTCCTCCCCAAGCCTCCACCCACGTAGACACCAGAGGGACAAAGCAACTAAATCTGTTGGGGTGGTGGGAAGGGGGTTTCAGGAAAGTTTCATAGTGATATTACCAGATCTTGAGGGTGGGACAGGAATTTGCTGGGGAAAGGGGTTCCAGGCTGAGATGGAAGCACCAAAGCACAGAGGTGTGAAGGAAAGGAGAAAGCTGTGAGTCACCCGAGTGTTTGCCAGAGAGTGGCTAAAGAGAAGGATTCTGGATCTAGATCCGGAAAGGCCATAAATGCCACGGCAAGAGTCTACACTATAGAGAGTGACTGAAAACTCGTACACAGGTGGCACAGAGACCCTGGGGGAGGATGCTGTACTAGGTTGATCTGAACTTAGGTTGGGGGTGGGGTGAAGAAAATGACAGGGCTAGGGGCCACTGCTAGGGGGTAGGTACTGATGGAAAAATCAAAGAGGACTAAAAGTCTACCTGGGTGACCGATCATTCAGAATAGCTTAAATGGTATGTCCACACTCCACTATACTTTTTACTTGATAAAAAGCCCATTTCCACAATTACTCCATGCTACACACACAGCAGCTCTCTGAAAACTTGCTGTTCAAGTGGTGCTGTCTTCATCACAAAGTGATAGCCAGAGAAGGAATGGGACCTTGCCACTGTCAAGCAGGCATTGAGGGAGCTAGTCACAACCTGAAGCCAGTGTCCTGGCCAGGAGTGCCAGGAGGCAGCTTTCAGCCATTTGAGAAACAAACTCAGCATCTTTTAGAACAGTACCCTAGAGACTTGGAGATGACCTTTGACCTCTGGGTCATTTCCAGACTGCACTGGTCACCTGGGCCTTAGACCAGATGCCCCCTGCAGGAGAGGGAGAAGTGGGACCCACTGAAGGGTAGGTTTTCCATGGTTAGACAGGTGGTCAGGGGCTCATGCACCGGACATGCCTATCTATGAGTCCTCCAAACTGGACCCTGGGGTGGGGCTGGAAGAGGGTCAGTCCCTCTACAAAGGGAAAGGGGCAGAAGGATTGGCCCTTTCTGGCCTTTCTAAGAAGCCCTCCAATGCCCCCTCCTCCTGGCACCCATGCCTGAACAGCCGCAGCCTGAGTCATCATCCCAGTTTGAATGGTAGCCGAGAAAGCAGCCAGGGGGCTGCCTGGGGCTGAGGGCCAAGGGTTGGAAAAACAAGGCTGCTTTCTCTTACTCCAGCCTTGGAACTCAGGACAGGGTGGGTGGGGGGTAGAGAGAGGGCAGGTAGATGCAGCATGGTGGGTGTCCACAGCCAGAGGGGGGTTGTGGGGTGTGTGTGTGTGTGTGTGTGTGTGGTGGGGGTGGAGCAAAGGAGAGATTCAGAACCTGAGCTGTGGGCTTTTCTTTTTCAATAACCTGTTTAATAATTACCTTTGCAATCAAAGGAGCCAGGGCCCAGCAAAGACAGGGATTTCAACCCTCCAGACCCCATCGGGCAGCCTGAGAAGAAAGTAAACAAGATGCCACTGGCAGATCTCGTTCTATCTTGCAAACAATGGCGGGACTGAGCTCCCTGCTCAGACACAAACATCAAAGTGAGATTTCCAGGCAAGAACTTTACCAGGCAGATAAGAGGCTTGGATTGAATTATTTCCCCACATCCTGGAGCTCCCCTGAGCCCAGCGCCCAAGGGGGCAGTTTAGAAGTGGTCATTTTAACATTAACCTTGACCTGTAATTTATTCATTCATTTTGCAGCGAGGTAGAACCAACTCCACCTCAGCCTCTGAAAAACCAACCAGCAATAACTTCATCCCTTTGAACAGTCACAATGGTGGGCAAACAAGGGATTTAAGTTACAGAGGCTAGCTCAGCTCACACTCACACTCCCACTCCACTGGGCTCGGGCTCCTTAAAAAACAAAACAAAACACCCTAATCCAAGCACCCACCAGGGCTCACAAAATCAGACCTGACCTGGCACTAGGAAAATCCAACTTGTTTTTCTTCAACCTCCCAAGGCCTTCAACTATTTTTCCTCCTGCAGCATCCAAGCCCAGCCTCAAGGCAGAGCCATAAACACGCCTGCTCCTCCCCCTTCCACGGTTCGGCAAAACACCCCCCTCCCACCTTCCCGGACCCCAAGGATTAAGAACCACCGCGACAGTCACCCGCAGCCCCTCTCCTGCCCTCACCCAGCCCCCCACAACGTCAGCAACAGCCGCAGCACCTTGAGATAAACACCCACTAATGATTTCATGCTACCCGCCGCACTCAGCAGAATCCCTCCCCCCCTCCCGCCCCGCCACCCTCCCGGCCCTGGATGGGGGCCGGCCCAACCGAGGGATTGGGGGATGGGGAGGGTGGTAGTTTGTTTTTTCCACTGCCGCGTCCCCACACCTGTTTTTCATTCATTCATTCGTTCGTTCATTCATTCACGGATTCGACCTGCAGCCGCCCGGGCCCTCCGAATCTCGGGGAGGTTCTGGGAGGGAGGGGGCTGAGATGGAGGAAGACAGCGGCCGGGATGCATTTTGGGGGGTCGGGGTGGAAGGACCCCGTTGGAGGGAAGATTGGGTGCCTTTGTCAAAAGCAACGCGAGCTGCGGGGCGGGGGCGCTCCCCGGGGCTGGAAGTTGTTTTCCGAGCGGCGGCAGCGAGCACAACCACCCGGGTGCGCCTCTTTGTCTCTCCCCGGCCGGCGCCGCGTCCCTGCGCGCTCACCTGGTCTTGGAGGACAGGAAAGCAAGTTTGATCAGGCCGTAGGTGAAGAGCGGGATACTCTCCTTGGCGACGCTGGCAACTTGCAGCCGGTGCTCTAGGATGTGGAGTTCCATCGTCCGCCCGCGCTCCGCGGCGGCTCATCCGCGAGGGGCGAGCCGCGGCCCCCGCCCCCTGCGCGCCCAGCCGGCACCGAGCGCCGCGGGCAACCGCCCCGGGGACCGGGAGCTCGGCGCAGTCGGGCCGGGCGGACAAAGGAGAGGCCCGCCAAGCCGCGAGGGGCCACGGGCGGCGGGCTGCGGGCGGCGGGCGAGGGCGGCAGCGCTGGCGGAGCGGCGGCGCACGGCGCCCGGCGCGGAGAGCAGCTGGTGTTCGCTGTAACAAACAACTTGCCACTCAAACGCCGGGCCGCTGGGCATGCGCGGCCGCGGCGGGGCGTGCCGGGACTTGTAGTCGCTCTCTGCCCGGCGCTGCCCGCTGCTGATGTCAGGGGATGGGCGGCCAAGCGAGGGGTCAGCTTGGTGCTCTGGACATGCACGAGTACGGGCCCCTACCGGACCACTGGGTAGGCGGAGGGCAGAAGTGGGGCTTTCAAGCCAGCCTGAGCCTATGTGCAAGCTCTGTCACTTAGCGCTCGGAACTGGTGGCTTTGGGGTCAAAGCTAGTATCCAATGCAGCACCAGCGCAGGAGGAGGCCCGAATCTGGGAGGGAAGAGATGTGGAGAAACCGGTAATTACAGTGCAGAGAAGCAAAACAGAGAGTGGCGCTGGGGTCGGAGATGAGGCCGAGGAGTTGAAGGAGTTTTCTTGGATGAGGGGACATCCAGGATGGGTTCTGAAGGATGAATGGGAGCTCGCCGAGGAGGCGGGAGGGGGCGCGCGGGGATCTAGGCCAGGGGCCTTCCAGGCAGAAGGAACAGCGTGTCCAAGGGCACAGAAGCGTGAAAGCCTCCACCGTGTTGTGTTTGGCTTTGTTGGAGCGGAAAATGTGAGGGAGGAAAGTCAGAGATAAGGCAGGCGCAGTCACCAGGAATCCGGTGGAGAGGGGTTATGTGTGCAGACCTAATGAGGGGGCCATTTATCCTGCAGGAGAGGGGGTGCTGACGACATGGAAGGCCGCATTAGGGAAAAGTGTGAAATGCGTTTGCAAGGCTTCCCACCTCAGGGCCTCTATGCCAGTGACCATATCCCTCAGTGGTTCCCCCTTAATGGCGGACCGGTTTTGAAATTTTCTGCTAAAGTTACTGGTGCTTTGCCATTTGCTAGAGTAATTTGTAGGTGGGATGGGCAGACTGGGAACTCTCATTTTAAGGGAAGTTCTGGCTGTGCTCCTTCACACTCTTTCTCACCCCTTCTCTGTTAGGTAGGAACGGATTAGGCTTCCTCATTTCCACAAAAGGGTGTGAAGCCTGCATGCTGATCTTAGAGCATGCTGGTCCCCTTATGTCTTTATTGTCATTAGAGAATGTATTAGCTTCTAATAAAGAATAGAGTTACTTTGCTTTGTTTTTCTGTCTTCCTCTTCTAGAATCTCAACTCCACTGAGGCAGTGATTTTTGTCTGTTCCTGCTGTATTCCCAGTGCCTGCAATGTGACTGGCATGTGCAAGACATGCATTTAATATTTATGGAATGCATAAATGCATGCATCTATTCCTTTAGAATCTAGAGATCTAGAAGGCCCCAAAAGAATTGTACTCAGGGCCAGGCAAGTAACACAAATGTGTGAGGCAGTGGGTATCAGACAGTTGGAAATGGTACAGGAGAAGGGAGGCCTGCCCGAAGACATAAAATTTAATTTTTAAATAACCAACAGGTGAAGCCAAACAAGGCTAAAAGCAGGAATCAGCCAGCTTTCTAAGTGGCTCTGGATGGCCCACTCAGTATTTTTCAGTCTGTAGGCCATGACCCATGCGTGCATGGTTAAATTAATTTAGCAAGGCATGGCTAGCATTAAAAAAAATGAATAGAGAATGGCATAGCACTTTGCACACAATAAGGGTAAATTGCTATTATCTTTTCTATGTTTCAGGAAACTCCTTCTGCCTGCGTGTGTGCATTCGTGCATCGGATCTTGATTTGGTGCACACATGCAGGGATGTCCAACCTTTTGGTGACTCAGGGCCACACTGGAAGAAGAAGAGTTGTCTTGGGCCACACATTAAATACATGGTGACATGTAATCACATGCCCTGACCTGACTAGAAAAATCTCATAATGTTTTAAGTAAATTTACGATTTTGTGTCAGGCCGCATTCATAGCCATCCTGGGCCTCATGTGGCCTGTGGGCGGTGGGTTGGACACCCCTGAACGTGTTCCTTACTGTGGGTCTTGGTCAAAAACATTTGAACGCACTGTGGGCTGTTCATTTGATTTATATAGTGGCTTTGTATTTGCAGTTGTATTAGGTGCTTAAGATTTTTGTAAAACTGCCTACTGAAATTAATATTGGGATGCTAAAGAAACTGGCCTTTGGGTTGCCAAATCCAGAGGATAGTTTCAGGTTGGGACTAGGATGAGACGTTCACTCCCAAGATCGTGCAAGCACTGGCTTGGCAGTTTCCCAGTGGGGTTCACACCCCTCTTGATTCCTTTGCACGGTGCTCTTGTGGTTCTTCTCTGATTCTTCTGGGTTTCCCTCTGCCCAACCATCAAATGAGTGGAGGTCCACCTGGTGTGCCTTTCTTTTTAAACAAAAAATTTTACCCTAACAACTTTATTGAGATATAATGTATATACCATACAATTCTTTTATTCATTTATTCATTTTAGTATATTTTATTGATTATGCTATTATAGTTGTCCCAATTTTTCCTGTTTTGCCCCCTTCCCCCACCCCTACCCTCCTTCCCTCCAACAACCCCTCTGCCCCTTAGTTCATGTCCATGGGTCGTGCATAAAAGTTCTTGGGCTTCTCCATTTCCCATACTATTCTTAACATCCCCCTATTTATTTTATACCTACCAATTATGCCTCTTAATCTCTTGACCTTCCCGCTCTTCCCCTTATAGCTGATAACCTTCCAAATGATCTCCACATCTATGATTCTGTTCTTGTTCTTTTTGTTTGCTTAGTTTATTTTTGTTTTTGTTTTTTAGATTCAGTTGTTTATAATTGTGTGTTGTTGTCATTTTAATGTTCATAGTTTTAATCTTTTTTTCTTAAATAAGTCCCTTTAACATTTCATGTAATAATAGCTTGGTGATGATGAATTCCTTTAGTTTTACCTTTCTGGGAAGCACTTTATCTGCTCTTCCATTCTAAATGAAAGCTTTGCTTAATAGAGTAATCTAGGTTGTAGTCCTTGCTTTTCATCACTTTGAATACTTCTTGCCAGTCCCTTCTTGACTGCAAAGTTTCTTTTGAGAAATCAGTTGATAGTCTTATGGGAACTTCTTTGTAGGTACTTTTTTCTTTTCCCTTGCTCCTTTTAACATTCTCTCTTTATTTTTAACCTTTGGCATTTTAATTATGATGTGTCTTCTTGTGGTCCTCTTTGGGTCCAACTTATTTGGGACCCTCTGAGCTTCCTGGACTTCCTAGAAGTCTATTTCTTTTACTAGATTGGGGAATTTTTTTTTCATTATTTTTTAAAGTAAGTTTTCAATTTCTTGTTCTTCCTCTTCTCCTTCTGACAACCCTATGATTCTGACATTGGTATGTTTAAAGTTGTCCCAGAGGTTCCTAAGCCTCTCCTCGTGTTTTTGAATTCTGTCTGGTCTGGTTGAATGCTTATTTCTTCCTTTTGTTCCAAATTGTTGATTTGAATCCCAGCTTTCTTCCCTTCACTGTTGGTTCCCTGTATATTTTTCTTTATTTTCACTTAGTGTATCCTTCATTTCTTCCTTTATTTTGTAGTTGTACTCATGAGTTCTCTGAGCATCCTGATCACCAGTGTTTTAAACTCTGCATCTGATAGATTGGCTATCTCCATTTTGTTTAATTATTTTTTCTGGGGTTTTGTTATGTTCTTTCATTTTGGCCATATTTCTATGTCTCCTCAATTTGGCAGCCTCCCTGTGTTTGTTTCTGTGTATTAGGTAGAGCGGCTTTTACTCCCTTTTTTAGTAGTGCTGCCTATGTAGAAAAGTGACCTGCAAATTGTGTGGGGCAGAGCCTTAGGTAATTGCCAGGGTGGGGCAACCCGCTACACCACTTTGTTGCTCTGTGTGTGTGTGGGGCGGGTGTTTGGAGAGGGGACAGGGCCGCTGCCTGGCCTCTGGAGGCCTGCCCAGCACTAGCCTCCCTTCCAGTCACCTCACCCATTTCCCATATTGCGATTGGCACCTTTCCAGCTGCTGCTGTGGGGTTTGCATATGGTCTCAGCACATATGGACCCTTTAAGCAGCACATATCTGGTAGTTTCTTTTACCACCCCAACCTGCACAGGTTTTTACAGCCAGAGGTAATGGGGGTTTATCTTCCTGGTGCTGGAACCCTGGGCTGTGTGGTCTGGCCTTGGGCTGGGATTGCTGGTTCCTAAGGCATCCCTCCTGATTTTTATCTACCACATGTGAATGTGGGACCACCCATTCCACCGCTGATGCAGCTGCCTCTCCATGCCACACTGCCTCTCTGCCCCATCTCTGTCACTCAGCCACTCCTATGCATCTGGATGAATGTGGCTTCTTTAAATCCTTGGTTGTCGGACTTCCATACAGTTCGATTTTCTGATGGTTCTGGGTGTTATTTGTTTTTGAGATCTGGTTGTAATTCTTTCTGTGATTGTTCAAGGAGGTGAAGCATGTCTGTGTACGCCTCCATCTTGACCGAAAGCTCTGGTGTTCCTTTCTGTAGTATATTTTTTTAGTAATAGCTGCTAGTGAATCATGCCTCCTGGTAAGGCATCCCACATGGACTTTGAGTTTGGTTATGTGGTTTTCTTTGGCCAATGAGATATTAGAAAATGTGCTTGCTAAGTCCTACAAATTGGGACTGTCCACTTAAATGCTGCCCCGAGACCATCATGCTATAACGAAGACTAGATGGAAGACCACGTGGAAAGAGAGGTCCTAGTGTTCCAGTTGTTCCAGTGAGCCCAGCCCCCTGCTGACAGCTGGCACCAACTACCAGATGCGTGAGACGATCTTGGAACTTCCTTCCAGCTCAGTGTTCAGCTGCATGTAGCCACATGAGTGAGCCAGGTAAAACCAGAACTACCCAGTTTATAGAAACATGAAAAATAATAAATCATTATTATTATTTAGTGACTAAAAATAATAAATCATTATTTTTAAATGATTATTAAATCATTATTTTTAGTCACTACGATTAGGAGTGGTTTATTATACAGCAATAGATAGCTGATATATTCCCTCCACCCTCATTTTCTCTTACTTAATGGGTGTACCCAGTCTCTGGCTTCTGATATGTGAATGGCCCACAAAT